ACCTTTTTTTTTTCTTCCTCCTCCTCCCCCTCCGCCTTCCCTCCTCGCTTCGGGGGATGAGAGCGCGATGATCATATCTGCCTCGGCGCCGCTTTCGACGACGCCCAAGTGACAAGGGAATGTCACATATTCTCACGGTCGCCGTGGTGCGTATGCAAACTGAGGCTGCATTCAGCGAAAACGAGGGCTAGAGAGCGGGCCAGATCCGATCGGCGGCGAGGCCGTGTTCGCTGTTGGAACGGATTCGCATCATCCTCTCTCCCTCTGCTTGTGACTGAGGATGCCGGTGACCGAGCAAGAGCCCTGGTGCTGCTGGCAAGCCTTGGTGGACTGCCGACCAAGCCAGAGAGGCTGGGCGCCAAGCAAGCCGATGAGCACCGAAACCCGTCCCAACCACGGGCCAAGAAGGCGAGGGGCGGCCGGGAGGTGTGCCGATGACGCTGCGCTGCAGCCACGCTTGGCCTGCAGCACGTGAGTGGCTTTCGGACCGGTTTGAGCCCTTCCGATCTTCCCGCCGATGCTTTCGCTCTAACAGTGCCCTTTTTCGCCGGTGCGGGCTTCAGGGTCTTTGATTGCAAACGGCCACCAAAATTCTCACCATTGCGGTCTTGTTTGTCACCACCGCTCCCATCGCTCCATCGCTGCATGAGCTCGAACTGGGCCTTGGCACGCAACTTCCACCCGGTCGCAACGCACTCGGCAAGCAAAGAGGAAACGAGATGCTGTTCTGTCCAACCTGTGCCAACTGTCTCATCATCCAGCTCGATGACCAGGGCAACAACAAGTGGTCGTGCCATACGTGTCCGTACGAGTTTCCCATCGTGCGCCAGATGACCACACGGCTGCATCTCAAGCGCAAAGAGGTGGACGACGTCATGGGCGGAGAAGAAAGCTGGAAGAACGTAGATTCCGCAGACGGTAAGCCCCCCACCCCTCCCCCTCTTCTTTCTTTCCGTGGCTTTGGGGAGATGCTGACGCTTTGCGTTTGGGTTGGGTCGTAGCGCCGTGTCCGAAATGCGAGAATCCAAAGGCGTTCTTCATGCAGCTCCAGATCAGGTCGGCCGACGAACCGAGTAAGTTGCGCACAACCATGGCCAAGAAAGAGCCAGGAGAGCTGACCATTGTGGGGGTTCGAAGTGACCACGTTTTATCGATGTACGAATGGCAAGTGCGCGTATCAGTGGAAGGAGAACTGAGCGCGCATGTAGGCGGCATGTATACCCAAACCCACTTCCCGACATCATTGTAACACTATCCATCTTTCGATCGTCTGTCTCGTATGCGGGCAACAGAGGGAGGGTTTGAGATCGAGGGAATTTTACTCGGCCGCTATAGAGTTGCGGAGATAGCCGTCGGGGGAGACCCTTAGGCCTCCACACACACACGTCTGCACGCCTTTGCTTTGCAACCACCAACTCTCTGGGCCGGCGCAACATCGTGATCGGTGGGGATTGGGTGGAGGATGTGTGTGATCTTTTGGACGGTGTCCGATGCGCACTACGACTTGGTGATCGCATCGAACCGCGACGAGTTTCTGGCGCGCCCCACGCTGCCTGCATCCTGGCATGCTTTTGACCTCGATTCGGAAGCTCGTATCCTCAGTGCCCGCGATGCCAGCGGTGGAGGAACTTGGCTTGGTGTGACCAGATCGGGCGCCTTTGCGACGCTGACCAACTTTACCGAAGCAACGCCCGAGTTGCCGCCGGGGATGGAGAGGTTCGAATCGCGCGGACAGCTGGTTCGAGACTGGCTACTCTCCTCCCACCCGTCCCCACAAACAAGACAGGAGGTAGAGAAGGACATTCAACAGTACCTCAACAACGTAGGCGACAAGTTGCAAAGCTATCCAGGCTTCAACTTGTTGGTGGGCAAGGTGTCGAAGCAAGGTACCGTGGTGGGGTACATTACCAACCGCGACTCGCAGGGAGAGTTGGCCAAGCCACAACCAAAGATCTTCGACCCACCAAAGATTGAGCGAGTGCGCATGTGTAGGGGCATGTCCAATTCGATCCTTTCGGAGCCTTGGCCCAAAGTGCACACCGGTTCGCAAGCGTTCGATGCTGCATTGGGGCGCGCATCACCTGCTTCTGACCAGGAGCAATTGGTAGCCGACCTCTTCAGCGTACTAGCCTTCTCATCCAACCCCACGCAAAGATCGGAGCTGCGAAACTCGATCCTCATCCCACCCGTCCAACTGCCCACGCCTGCCGGAGACGGAGACTGGTACGCCACGCGAACGTCCACCGTCATCCTCATCGCCAAAGACGGCCGCGCCACCTTTGTCGAACGCGACATCCACACTCTCAACCACAACATCCCCACCCAAATCCCACCCGGCAAAGCTCAACGATCCTTCAGCTGGAATCTTTTAGACTAAGCAATGCCAAACGCAGGGTTCTGTGAGAGAGATTCTTTTTTCTGTGCGGGGTGGTGCGCTGGGGGCAATGTAAAGATGATACAAAGGGGGGATGGTGGCTAAGAAGTTCGACGCCTCTCGCTGGGCGCAGCAAGGCGAAGATTTTGGTTGGGCGAGAGGAATGCAAAGGTGCGTGTGTGTGAGAGAAGCGCGGAAAGGCAATCTGCTAAGACACCCAACCCACGCTTCTTTCGACCACGGGAAGGAAACCAAAAAAACCTTCCCTTTTTTTGGGCAGTAGTAGGAAGAGATGATCAACCTCAGCCGACTAGACTACCGATTGCTGTCATGATGATGTTCGGTGGGGAAACATTTACTCGTCGTCCTCCTCCTCGTCCTCCTCCTCGGACTCGCTCTCCTCCTCCTCGCGGGCAGCCTCGAGGCATGCGACGGCGATACGGTCAAGGTCACGCATGCCATCCTGCGAGATGCGACGGCCACCCTTGGGGTCCTTCTCGAGAACACCAATGCCCTCAAGACCCTGGACGACCTTGCGCTGCACGGAGCCCGAGGCGTCGGCGTGGTGCGAGGGGCGGAAGCCGCGGTTGGAGGCACCACCGTGGAACTTTCGCAGGTGGCCGATACCGACAGCCTTGCGCAGGTAGATGTGGCGGGCGAGCGCGGCGGCACGGACGTAGAACCAGTCGGGGTTGTAAGGGGCCTGCTCCTTGAAGTGACCGGTCTTGACAATGTCGACCCAGACGGGCACCTCGATCTTGCCTGAAAGGTGGGTGCAAAAGTGCGTACAACGTGCAAGGAACGGGTCAGTGAATGCTGCTCCTCTTGGCGAAGGTTTTGCGAAGCGGCTGGCAGATCGGCGCGTGCGGATGTATGGTGTCTTCCCAGCCCTCCTTCCACTGTAGTGCGCGTGGGCTCCTTCGGACGTGCTGCCCTCGTCCGTGTCGGTGTGGTGTGCAGAGACACCGAATCGTCAAGGCTGTCGGCTGCTGAATGCAGTAGGCGATCCACTGCAAATTATGCTGGTCCATGATGGCTGTGACGTGTCCTCTCCACCGTCTCCGTCTGCAATCCCCCTCCTCTGGACGTCGCTGGCGGTATGTCGGCAACTTCCGTGCTTGTCTGAAAAATCGATCTCCGTGCTGCCTGCGTTGGATCTGCCAGCTGTGCTTTGCCGTGTGGATGTGGATGTGGACTTACCAGATCGCTTGAGGTGCTGCGCGTAAGCGTCAATGAAGGTAGCGGCGTCGACGTCACGAACGCTGTAGTTGGAACACAATGGAAGTGGTTGGGGTCAGCATGCGTGCAAGAGAGACGCTGGTTTGCGGCAACAGTCGAGCAGCATCGTCGCACGATCTTGTGGCCCATTAGACGATGCAAGGCGGTCGAGTCGAGGTAGAGTTGGGAATGCTAGAGACGAACGATTGTCGCAGTGTCATCGGGGACGCTGCTTGGCCCCGCCGAGAACGAATGATCACAATGGCGGTAGAGATATGGGCGTGGCTGGGTCGAGCGGCCAAAGGCATGCGGTGAATCGGTGCTGATGGTGCTAACAGCACTGAACGATTGGCCAGAGTGACGTTTACGACCAACAGCGCGACGAGCATGCCAGTGCGAAAGGGCAGCACTGGCAACGGCGATGGTGCTGGCGTCCGCTCTTTCGCATGCATGCTGTCCCTCTCTGAACCTAGTCATGTCCACCACCTCGAACATGCCTTTGCTGCGCGTCGAGATACAAGCTGCTGCACCCGGTGTCGAGACGTGCGCGTCACTGGCAGCATGACGCCACAATCTGCTGCATCTGATGTGTTGGTGTGAATTCTGAGCGTGTCCGATATGCTGTCCCGAAGTTGGCAGGCCCTACTAGGCGATCGAAATGTCGATTCATGGTTTCTCTTGGCCGAGTGTGTCGAGTTTGATGCTGGCGACCTGCGAAGAATCCGACGAGTGCGTGTGCGACGTATGCTGCTGACGATGCGTGTGGCGCTAATACCTACTTCGGCATGATGGGCGATGTATGTGTCTTGAGGGGAGGTGATGAAAGCTGACGGTGAGAACCTTGAAGCCCGGTGGTCTCGACACGGCACCGCTGCTGCTGCTGCTGCTCACACACTCTCTGCCCAAAACCAAAGGGCTCGACTGTGCCGCCGTCTGCAGTTGCGAATTTCGCCTCACGCTGAATCCTCCGAGTCGAATCCCGGCTCCGCGTGTCGCTCCGTCTCCCTCTCCCTCTCTCGCCCTCTCTCTCGCCCTCTCGCGCTTCTCAGTTGGCCGAAGATCAGGAAATTCGGCAGCACAGCGCAGTGCGGCCAAGCTTGAAATGCAAGCCAGCCTGAAGATGAAATCGAACGCTTCAGACGGCGGCGCGCGCTGAATTCCACGCTTCAGTTCGAAGGCGTGGCTTTGGCGTGGCAAATTGGGGGGCCATTTGGCAGAGACCACCGACGCAATCGTGGGAATTTTTATCTCGCCCTGCAAACAACTGCTCGGCTCCGAAACTCTCCCCTCCAAATTTCGAGAACGAGACTACACAGAACAGCACGGTCTAACAGGTTTCAAATCGACTCCGCTTTTCCCATCGCCGCCGAGTGTGCATCGCAAGGCGCAAATCGGGCAAGCCAAAGTTCGAGACTCAGATCGCAAACATGCAGCGACCAAAGGTTGCAGGCGAGTACTTGTACCGATTCGCAAAGGTGGGCACAGAATAGTTGTACAGATGGGAGCCCCAGAGGACTAGATGCGCATGACGAGCAATGTAAAGCTCAAGGGTAGCCCGGGCCGGCGTGCGAGTAAGGGCGTTGGGGCAGGGGATGCTGCTGGTGCGGCTGGTGCGGTTGGTGCGGCTGGTGCTGCTGCTGGTGCTGCTGCTGGT